TGCTGAAAATCAAAATGTGTAAGTTAAAAGTGAGCAATCGCTATAAGACTAGAGAATCGAAAATTTGACGAGTTATGTATAGGGTTGGTCGTGTGTTGAATGATCAGAAAATTTTCTTTTGTTTGTCTCCTCCTTGCTTCCAACTCCCTACTACCAAGTGGTTACATTGATGTAGGTGGTTTCCTAAAGAAGATAAACACCTCAACATTTAACTGAGTCAAATCTTCATCTAGATTTCGCCATTTGTCTCTACTATCTGCCAACTCACAATCTTATTAATTGAAACAAACTCCTAAGTTGCATTTGACTTGTTAAGGACCCCAAAACAACATTTCTAATGTAGCTTAATTTCACCCAACCATTTAAAATAAATTGACACGTGACATATTCTTAAGTCTAGCAATTTGTGGTGTAAACACTTTTTCTAGTAGTGCTGGTGTTTGCAAGAAAAGGAAAATTTTAGATCCCCAATTCACCTTTATTAGAGTACATTAAGCCAACAATTATAACACCTACTTCAACTTGGGACACAATAACTCATCCCCATATCAAGCACAAAATGAGACAAAGTCTAAACGCATTTCTAGAATTATCCATTCAATCAATAAACACGAAAAGAAACAATTAGTTCCTGCTACATCAATTGCTGATAATATCTGGTGACTTAGGTAATGTCATTAGGCTAATTGATTTCATTTTAGGTTGGATAATGGCTATATAATAAGAGATAAATTTTTCCTTCTCAAAATTTAAATGTGAAACCAACAATAAGGCTCAAGTTTTCATTTGTCGCGACACTCTTTAAGGGACATTGAGCTAATGTTAAGGTATGGTTGTGGTTATTGTTGTACTTTTTAACTATAACTTTATTAGTTTATAATTTTATTTTAATTATATAGTTATTTATAATATTTAGAAATATATATTTATAAATTAATTTTAATATGTTAAATAATAAATATTAATTATTTTATTAATTTTTAATTATTCTTAACAGTCAAATTAAAATAAAAATTTAACAATTTATATCGTTAACAAACTTAAGTTTGGCCAAAGCTATAGCTAGGTGTAGTTTGTTTCGATTTTAAGTACGTTAAAAGATGTTCTAGTATCATTTCAAGAATAATTTCTTCTAATGAGTTTAATTTTTTTTGTGTCAATGTACAGATTGAACTCATCTTTTTTTAAGGAGAAATAAACATTTTACAAGTTATATTTCTTGCGAGTTTATTTACAAAGCATATTTACAATTTATAATTTATGTCAAATTCAATTTGAATTCTTCTTGTTGTAGCTTATTCTATTTTTCTGTTTTCCCTTTTCTGTTTCGTTGTTGATTTTTCTTGATTTCCTCTTCTTTTTATGCAATCTCTGTATCCTACTACTTGTATATATACAATTCTCATAAGCAATAAAATACATATAAAATTCCACTAGATTTTACAATATTAAATAATTTTTTTTATAATTTAAATAGTATCAAATTCTAAAAAAACTTTAGTTATTAGATTAAAAGAAATATCCTAGAGGAAAGATTCTTCCATTTAATAAATAATCAATTTAATACCATAATCCAAAACGGTAAGACACCACATTTTAAACCAGAAAGTGAAGTCTAGTCCACCAAACATTCAAATCAAATATTTAACGTCGGGCTTCCACCATTATTTACTTCTAATAATAGAATTATCATGATGGTACATCAAAAAAGAAAAAAATAATTAATATATCTTTTAGTGGAATATATTTTATAATATTTATTGATTTAATCATTAAAATTTATAATTTTTAGATTTTTTATTTTTAATTTAAATTT